CCATGAATACTAGTACTCGTATGTCTTTGCATCAAGTGTACTCTCGTACCTATGTCACTAGCCAGGTCAACTTCTTATAGTTCATGTTTCTTTCTACGAACTCAGAAAACAATAGGAAAGTAACCAGTTTATTCTATCATAGACAATCTTCAATTTTGTGGTCAATTACCTCACTACCAATCTGATTAAAATCCGATGTAGGTATGAGGCTCCAATTTTTTTTTTTTTTATATATAACCCTTTATATTATATTTATTTGTATTTTAGTTTGAATTTGTCGATTTTTTTGGTTTTACTTGCCGTTAATCAGTTCTTAGAAAATTGTGTCTCACTCGCCTCTAACTACATCTGGCTCAATGCCTATACAAATCTCGTACAAATCTCGCACAGGGACCAGCCAATCAGATCACGAGTTACAAACGCGCCTGAGCATGACTCAAAACATGGCGGCGTACTACTACTGCTGCTACTTTTGCGTTAGCTGTGGGTCCATAGCTCTGCTTGTGTCGATCTGATGTTATAATAAACGTACTTGAAATTTGTATGGTATTGTCGACACAGTAGAGCTATGGTGACAGCCATAGAGTACCGTCCATGTTGTGCCGCAATAAAACCATTGCGCAAATAAACGATTCAAAATCATGCAATGTCTTGTGAAAAACGACTCCAAACTAAGGTCGATAGATTGTACATTTATTAAATACTCACCACAGCAAGGATTGAAACTTAATAATTTCAAATAAAGCCCATTCACCCGAGTATTCTTGGACGGTCACGCTAAAACACAGCTTGTCGCCATTTTACACACACTGGACGAGGTCGGTATCACATGATCAATATGACGTCACGTTGTTGTCATTACGTAATGCGGTTAGGGATTCCCCAAGAATGTACACACCATGTCCGGCATTGCGTTAATAACGTGTGTTTATTGCAACCAACCGTTTCAGAAACGCAATAAAGGTTTGAAACTATATGGAGTTGGCACAAATGTTTGTGCCAATTTCACTGTTTATGACATTCTAGTTGAATTGTCCAAGGAACCACAAAATGGTGGTTTTGTTTGCCAAACATGTTACAGTCTAATCTGTAGGTTTGGCAAACTAAGAGAAAAAGCTCAATGTGTTAAAGACGAGCTCCGCGAACGATGTTTTTCTCCCTGTGTTGGATTTAAAAGAAAATCCAGCGAAGAAGAGGCTTCAGGGGCAACGTCTGCCAAACAAGTGGTTTTTCAACTTCCACCAAAAGTTACGACATCGATGCAACCGGTAGTAGAGAAAACAGACGCAGAGGTATGTATTTCGATAATTCTTTATATAGTTCTAATTTACATTTATCAACCTATATTTAAAGCCATTGTTATTTTCTCATTCAAAATTTTTCATTATGAGGAATATTGCATACTTGGTTCATCTACTAATTTTAATATTATTTGATTATTTACAGAAGTCTACTTTCATAGATGTTGCTATCAATCACATCAAGAAATATAATTATTGGTCTGGAATTAAACATCTTCTGAAAAACAGTCGTAAATTTAGAGATGTTTTTCACCGTCTTCTGGTACATGAATCTCGACAGGAAGTTTCGTTTTATTGGAAAACAAGTCGAATACCGTCCCAAGAAACCACAATTGAAAACATAAAGAAGTTTCAATGGTTTCGCTTTCTAAATGAAACTAGGAAGCACCTGCCAATATTACATGCTGTAATTGAAGGTTCCCTGTCAAACCGATTGTCCGCTGATAAGATTTGTATGTGAGTAATTTAAATAATTATCCAAATATCTTCGAAATCCTGATACAAATATAAAAATGTTCGTATTCACGAAAAACATTTCAAATAATGCCTTTTAAAGCCATGAATGTACATACGGTTTTGTAATATTGAATTTATACCTGTCAGGATAAGTGTCAACCTAATGAGCGAATATTATATTATTCTATATGTAATTTTTTTTTCAAAACAATGGAATTTGCATAATCACACGGAATAATCATAAATAGTGAAATATGTATTTGGATTCCTGATATGTTTTCAAATTCAGTTTGACACAATTCAGATGTACGAATATAGTGACTTTTTATTGATTCTTTTTACCAGTGACGATGATGGAAAGTGTGGCTCCTTAGTTCCCGGCTTAGGTTTTACAATTGGTACCATACTAAACTTGCGAAAACCCAAGAAATTTAATTTTCTACAAAATATTAATGCACTTCAAATGTACCGAAGTGGCTGCAATCAAAAGGTTAGTTGCTAAACTAGTTTTTTGTATTAATATTGTTGAGATGTACCGAATCATTCAACAGTATACAAACTTTTTTATTCGTAATAATACAATATCAATGTTTCTGAGTGTTACGTAGCGAAGTACAGATAGTACGCAATACGAATCAATGAAATTGGGTTTTTTGCGCAGATTTTTAAATGGTTTAACAAGATCGGACTGAGCATTGGGATACATGCCACAAGAAACTCTGTTGACCGTTTACGTAAAGGATTCGATAGTGAAATAATAATCTGGAAACAACATATTCAGGTTTGTGTTTTCGTCTTTTTATAATTATAGTCTTAGTTTCGTATTTTAGTGACGCCTGGTTTTGGTGTTACAGTACGCCCCTCTTATCACCAGTAACATCACTCTTATTATCCAAATTTTCTTTAGCATGAACTCTCTGCAAACTGTGACAGCAGTATGCACACCGACGATAGCGTACATTCTTCCTTGATCTCAGAGTTTGACGAATCGGCAGAGAGCGATCATACCAAATCAACTAACGGATCCGATGAAGACTGTGTTTCAATGAGCCCAGATGGGGCCAGTGATATTGAAGATGACGTAGAAACTTTCGAAAGAGGCATGTTGAATTCATTATATTGCTTCCCACATAGATATTATTTTTGAATATACATGACGTGTTTATTTTGGTATAAGTGACCTCAATATTGCAGGAGACACAATTTTAGGATAATATATATTGTCTAATGCTAGCTAAAACCTAACGACGTCCGTCCGACTTGCGAGTTCCTGAGAAATGTTATATTTTGTCCAGGCAAGCAACCCCTTACACCGATTTTAGTAAGAGGTATCATTTTAATGCTACTTTTTTTATTCTGTATGCATTTTCCGATAGATCTGCCCTCTTGCATTTACAGTAATATACATGTATTTTTGCTTCTCTGCTATATTTCTGTAGAACCCGGATACAGTCTGTGCTGGGACAACGTTCAAAAGCTCTCTGAAGCCAGACACCAATCCCAGAAAGTTAAAAATAAAATGATGCTCTGGGCACTGTCATTCGCTACCAAAAACCGTATATCATTTCGCGACTACGATGACATCAGGACCAAAAAAGCAGTCGATATCCCTGTTGCGGTTTTTTTGCCTTCACAGAGTGATTGGACTCGAGTAAGAACAAGGATGAAAACACTAGTTCAGCGTATTCTTGTGCGCAACTTTGAGTGTTTCAAGGACACACAAATACAATGGCATATATCGCACAAGTACTCTTCTGAGTCACGATTAAAGAGTGAGATTGTAAGTCCCAATATCACATAATATTCACACCCAAAACTAAACTTACTCTATTATGGTGTTAAGTTGTGTCGCAGTAAAGTTAGTCGTAAAATGATGACAATTAAAATAGATACTTTACACTCATTTCACACTAAATATCCATCTTGACACATTTCTAACTATAGTCTAAACTCACGTTAAAGTCTTTAAACCAATATGAAGTGTAACGTTTTGAAATAGGTCAATGGAAATTGACACTATACTACGGCCGAAATGTACAGTAATATATAACAGTCCAAACAATAAATCGGATGGTTTCTCGGACTATAGCATGATGGAATATGATTTAAATTTCTAACTACGTCCAAGTCAGTGGTTATATACTTACTCTGGATATTGATATATTTGCGTTGTTCAGGTTAACCTTGGTGTAATAAAAGCCAACCCTTCCTCCAGCAAAGGTGTGATTGAGATAATGCGACATCTTGGACAGTATGTACCATCACAAAATGGAAAACCCCTCTATAACGTTGTATGTCACGGTGATCAATTATCAATTGAACGTATGGTTGATGCCAGGTTTTCTATGGCATGTAGCCAAGACCATGTCAATCGTCTTGTTGGGCTCGAACCAAGGCCCCAGGAGTTCCACAAAAGGTGCATCACAATGCAGGTAAATACTGGGTAGTTACATGCTCGTAATATAAATATAATGTTATAAATTATGTATGTATGCATGTGTAATTTTTTCTTTTATTTGAAGGACACCATGAACAAACTATTCAGTGGAAGTTCGGCAAGTGCACGTGGGTCTTTATTCCATGTCAAAATTAAGTTTGGTCACCGTGCAGTGAAAAAGAAGGTGATTGATGATGTTAATCACACAGTGGATTGTCTTAACTTTATGACCGAAGGCTATACCTGTATATTGGCAATGCATTTAAGAAGACTGACCAGCCTATGTGATAAGCCGACTATTCAACCGGACCAGCAGAAAGACTACGTTGAAAAGTTAGCAGAGGAAATAGTTTCTTTTATTTGGCCGGATGTAGATGAAGTACCACTTAGTGATAGTGATCAACAGCCATGCATTGATAATTATGATGATGAAGATGATGATTATTGCGTATGTAAAACAGGTATGTGCATGTATGGTGATCTGTGAAACAACGCAATAGGAAGATAGATTATACTACTGAACTCAATACAATATAACAAACCATCCCTTTATTCACAGACCTAGGAGGGACCATGATTGAATGTTCTGCACTCTCACAGTGTAAAAGAGGCAGATGGTTCCACCTCGATTGTGTTGAATTACAACCTGAATCTGTACCAGATGACGAGTGGTGGTGTAGCCCGGACTGTGAACAATCATCAATTTATTGTTTCTGTAAAAAGAAAGAAGATACTGATGATGATAAGTGGATAGGGTGTGACAGGGAGTTCATGTGCCCTAATGGAGAATGGTTTCATATGCGATGTGTTGGTTTGAATCAATGCCCAGGTAAGCTGATAGGCCCATAACTACATATTTTTATAATAATAATAATAATAAAAATAATAATAATAATAATTATCTGTTGATAAATTTTCCACTAGATGGTTCTTGGTTTTGTTCAGATGACTGTCAAGTTAAAGGGCCTTTATCAAAGCCAGACCAGGACACCGGTGCTGACTACCTCTTCAATTACTCCTGTCATGTATTATGGAGAGGGTTATTCCATATGGCAGAAAGAGATGCAGAACGCGAAAACGATGGTCCCGCAATGATGTCGAATTGGAGAGTTTCAATGTTAGATTTCTGGGAAAATAACCATTATAAATATCTTATAATTGGCCATAGATTGCTAGCATGTAAGTTTATTTTATCGTTTTTTCAGTAACTTTCAAATATGTGATTAAAATTACTGGCGATCCTCACAAGTAAATATTGGTTAATATATTCAACGTTTACTTCAGGTATAAATGGTTATGTTTCGCCAAGGCAAGGAGAAGAAATGCTTTGGAATAGCACTGCTAACCTGAAAGGAGGAGCTGGGAACAACATACCGCTAGATCTTGTTAACGAGTATCTAAATAATGACTTTAAACGTAAGTGTACAATTAGGAATGGTGAAAGGTCTTTTTTTACTAACTGAATGTATGTTTTTACATCAACCCAACCAATACTTTCGGCATATATGTGTCCGTTGTTTATGTGTGAAAATATCTATTTGTATTTACACCCGTTTGTTATATATGATTAGTAATCAAATGCTTATTTCCATATACATTGCAGAGAACCTAAAACACTGCGATGGTCGCTACACAAACACCCATGTTGCTAGATGTAGTCAGCTGGTTGGAAGATTGGCCACTGACTTAGAATGTGTTTACATGACCAAATTTATGGACGAATATGTTCATAAATCTAAAACTACATCTGCTAATTACAGACGAGACGTCTCCAAATTTGTAAAGGAGTACAGAGACGATGGCATATTTCAACAAATTCCGGGTCGGTATCACGCTGGATTTTCCAACTTTCGAAATAAAGTAGCCATTCACAGTGGTGATAAGTTGGTATCCCGATTGAAATCACACTGTAGAACCCTTGACCTGTTGAAGGAAATCCTTCCACAGGATTAGTTGTTTCCCATGATTGGATTACGGATTGTTACATTGGAACAATAAATATTACTACTTTGTTAGCCAAACAGTGAGCTATATTCCTTTACTGTTGGCTGGGTTACTTTTTCGTTCACCTTATTTTATAGCAAGCAATACCTTCGTTATGATGAAAATATGTTCATCAGCTTTATTTTTTTACCAGAGTGAAACCTAAAAACATCATTATCTAAATTTCTGGTGCCGATTACAAATGAAATAAGTTTTCAAGCAGTCATTCAGTACAGTCAGTTTATTATTAAATCACATTATGAATTATTGTTCAATTAGCGCGAACAGAGGAAATAATAGTTTTTGTGTGCATCATACTGGGAAATGCTTCAAATAGAATATTGATTTATCATTTTAGTTCATCCTTGATTGTCGAACTTATAAATCTCGCGCACGAGAGGATGACACCAAAAGATGATGAAAATAAATACAACTGAATATAACGATGTTTCAATGCCAAGAAGCATTTATTTTATTCGCATATTAAATATACCACAGGATGAAAAGACAATGTTGTCACAATACTGTGGTACACAATAAACATAACACTATGTGGCCATATTTGCTATCTGCGTGTGAAGATTTAACTCAATAACATAATTCTAACATGCTGAACAACAACCAAAAAATAAAATAAAAAATGGCAATTTGACAGTATTTCGACGCCTACCTCTGCGAGTTTAATTGACCCGACATGGACATTTAAGCTTACAAGCTGTGCAACACTTACAATTGAGGCAAACACAACACTCACATTTCATGTCACATGACTTGCGATGTTTTATCTCGTCAATTATATGAGGATTCATTCCTTTAATAGTGAGGTGTTCCAAAATGTGGACTCGTAGACATGGAATGTTTGAATGTTTAAGTTGTTCACAGAGTGATTTCATATCATCTTCAACGTGTAAAACCGTTCTTGGCAGCGGAAATAAATGTGCCTCCGCTGGATCACCATTTCGCCCAGCACGACCTACTTCCTGCCAGTATTCAACTATGCTGTTACTACATCCCCAATGAACAACTATATTTAAATCTGGGATGTTCACCCCCATCCCAAACGCCACAGTGCAAATTATACATCTTAAAACATTATCCTGCGAGAAACGTGAAACAACTCTCTCCTGGTCTGTGCTGGCCAATGCCCCGTGGTAAACTTCCAAAATTCGGTTTTGTATAACTTTGCTTCCATCTCCATAAGCAGCATTTCCCAGGTAGGCCATAAAATTAGCAAATACTTTGCCACACTGAGTGATGGTTCTGCAAGGAAAAAGTCGAAAAGTCAGTAATTTACTAAATTGTTATTATATTATATTATATTATATTATATTATATTATATTATATTATATTATATTATACATTAGATCTACATTTAAACGTTCTCGTGTTTGTAAACTTTCAAAAAACAATCAACTACCTGTTTATTGTTATTATACATATGTATAAAAATGATATACCTGACATAAATGATGGCTTTCCGTGCTGTGATGCCGTCACTTTTGAGTTCCCTTAGATACCAAGCCATCTCTTCAGTAATGGACAATGAGCCAAACTTGTAGTAGAGACTAATGTTAGGCCTAAATAATTCAATAATTAATTTAACAATTAACTCTGTGTAAATCAGTCAGATTGAGAAATAGGTAATGATATCACACATCTTTAATTACACGATATTAGAAAATACGTAGGTAAAGTCCAACATTGAAACGTAATTGAGACGATTATCTTATGTACGTATAATGGTTAATTTACCTGTCGGGCACTTTGGAAACAAGCTGCATCTCATTTTCACCGAAGTACAATTGTTTAAGAATGTTACGTTTCATAACATTCGTGCAGGTTGCCGTCAGAATTAAAAACGAACAAGAAAAATGGCTTCGTAGTTCGCCTAACATTCTGTATGTTGGTCTGAAATCGTCACCCCTGTTAAATAAAATAAATCAGAATAATACAATGCTGGTTTACAATTATAATAATACAACGACAAAAATAATTATATATTAATTAAATATATAGTTGTGGAGACTTAACTTCGGAAATACTTACCATAATTCTAGGACATGACATTCATCTATGGCTATGAGACAAACTCCATCTCCGTAGATTTTGGATTGAAGCAAAATTGGCCTCCACGAGTCAATAAATAACAATGCTTCGGGCGACATAAATAAAAGTGTAAACAGTCCTTTCTTTATACCTATGATACAGAATACAGTCTCAGTAACTAGGAGGCCAATCTAGTTATTAACGTTTCAATAATTTTACTATCTCGATAAAACATTGAGAAAATATTAATTTGAGACAATTACAAATTTCACGTACCTTCAATAGTTTCTGTATCCATATCTTTCTTCCTTGTGATGCAGCATGACTTAATGCCCATAGCATTGCAACTACGCACCTGGTCGTACATTAGGCTTCGTAGTGGCGATATAATCAAACCGTAATGCCGTTTATCACTGATTGTTTCATTTAACAAAACTGGTGGGAGCATGTAACAGATACTTTTCCCAAATCCAGTTGGTAGCACAGCAAAGCAATTTTCATTTCGCAAAATATGAGTAATGACATCAATTTGCTCGGGTTTCAGATGATAATGCAGATTGTAAGAACGTTTTATGCGATTGAACGTGTTCTCCCAAGAACAAACTATATCATTTAATGTTGCCATTACGTATAGTTTATCGGGTGTACCGACAAGTCTAACATGAAAGGGCTACTTTCTTACGCAAGTATTCTTGGGGAATCCCTAACCGCATTACGTAATGACAACAACGTGACGTCATATTGATCATGTGATACCGACCTCGTCCAGTGTGTGTAAGATGGCGACAAGCTGTGTTTTAGCGTGACCGTCCAAGAATACTCGGGTGAATGGGCTTTATTTGAAATTATTAAGTTTCAATCCTTGCTGTGGTGAGTATTTAATAAATGTACAATCTATCGACCTTAGTTTGGAGTCGTTTTTCACAAGACATTGCATGATTTTGAATCGTTTATTTGCGCAATGGTTTTATTGCGGCACAACATGGACGGTACTCTATGGCTGTCACCATAGCTCTACTGTGTCGACAATACCATACAAATTTCAAGTACGTTTATTATAACATCAGATCGACACAAGCAGAGCTATGGACCCACAGCTACAAACGATAATACATTTAAATTTGGAACTGTTACAGCCATTTTAATTATGAGCGTTAGCAAACTTCTTACTGAGTGAGTTGTTATGCAAATTAGCAATTATCTCAGCTTCTTTTTAGTGCACATCACAGAACTTTAAAAAAAAATAGCTCCTAGACGCTTTGACCTTTTGTTTTTAAATTTTCACAAATGATTGACAATGTGTTTATCTTCAAAATGCCGGCGGGGCATTGTTTTTGGTTGAACAGTGTTACAGAAATCATACAGACAGCTAGACTGGGTGTTAATTTATGCATAAACTTGAAGTAGTGAAATTTGGGCTGCAGCTCTGCAAAATTGACAACTGGTAGACGGTTTTCAAGACGACAGCGCTTTCTTCATAGTAAACAGATGTACCCACAAACCAATATTGACAGGAAACAGAAGCATGGTTTAGGAGCTAATTTTTTTAAATCACTTTTTATCAAAAAAAGCACATTTTTGTGCATATTTCAAACTACAGTGTGCATAAAAAAGTACTAAAAAAAATTTAAAATTCATACAATAAGCTTTCCGAAAATATATAGTTTTGTGGACAGGAGGTCATCTTGGTTTCCTAATTAACTAATTAAAATATCTGTCAGGTAAACTGCATCTTCTAC